GGTTTAGGGTGTAGGGTGTAGGGTAGGGTAGGGTGTAGGGTTTAGGGTTTAGGGTTTAGGGTTTAGTGTTTTAGGGTTTAGGGTTTAGGGTTTAGGGTTTAGGGTTTAGGGTTTAGGGTTTAGGGTTTAGGGTTTAGGGTTTAGGGTTTAGGGTTTAGGGTTTAGGGTTTAGGGTTTAGGGTTTAGGGTTTAGGGTTTAGGGTTTGCTTCGCAACTATGCCGTTGGGCTGGTCGAGAACAGGGCCATAGGGCTTAGGATGTTTAGGCTTTAGGGGTTTTGGGTTTAGGGGAGCCGCCGCAATGGGTTTCCGGCAGGCTCCGGATCAGAGGTTGGGAGCAGTAGGCTACTGTTCGACATCACAACCAAGTCCGGCAACTCAGAACATTGAGCACGCCAGTCCTTGCCCCTTTCCCACGGGCTCCGTTTTGGGCCTCTGATCGTAGATTTTTCTTATCGCTTCGGGCGTCGACGAACTCTCATCCTTCTAAACCCTAAACCCTAAACCCTAAACCCTAAACCCGAAACCCTAAACCCTCAACCCTGGTATGGTATAGTCACTCGTCCTTGAGGGCACCAAGAAGGCCCCAGACCTCCAGGGCCTCCAACGTTTAGGAGTTTAGGGTTTAGGGTTTAGGATTTAGGGTTTAAGGTTTAAGGTTTAGGGTTTAGGGTTTGGGGTTTAGGTTTTAGGGTTTAGGGTGTAGAGTTTATGGGTTTCTGGGCTTATGGGTTTATGGGTTTATGGGTTTATGGGTTTATGGGTTTATGGGTTTATGGGTTTATGGGTTTATGGGTTTATGGGTTTATGGGTTTATGGGTTTATGGGTTTATGGGTTTATGGGTTTATGGGTTTATGGGTTTATGGGTTTATGGGTTTAGGGTTTAGCCTCGCAGAGGCAAAAGTACCCCCCCCCCCTCTCTCCCCCCTTGCCAAGTCCCTAACCCTACAAAAATAGCGAAAAACCAACCCTAAACCCTAAACCCTAAACCCTAAACCCTAAACCCTAAACCCTAAACTAAGTGAGGGGTCGCTTCCGTCGAGCGACAGACCCCGAACGCTCGGACGAGGGCCTTACAGCCCGAGCGCCCAAGCGAAAAGAGAAACGGAAAGGTGAGGGTTAAGCCTCACCGTCTGTCCTGGACAGGCCAACGGACATCGGCCTTTTTTACGACAACGTCAGTACTCGGCTAAGGGATGGCCGGCACCCAGACCACCTTTAGCGTAGCTAAAGTAACCCTTTGCCTCTGGAGGTCGGTTCAGGGTTTTGGGTTCAGGGTTTGCCGGGCCCCCCCCCCGGGGGCCCCCTGGTCCCTGGTAGCTGGATTCCTGGACCAGGAGGCTGGCGAGGGGTCCAGGCAGGCTGACTGCTCAATTTCGTGATTTTGGGGGTTTTTGGCGGCCCCCCACCCCCGGGCCAAGGGCCCCCGGGGCCAAGGGCCCCCCGGGCCAAGGGCCCCCGGGGCCAAGGGCCCCCCGGGGAAGGGCCCCGCACCAAAAACCCCCGGCCAAGGGCCCCCAGGCCGGGCCCCAGGCCAAAGGCCCCAACCCCGGCCAAGGGTCCTCCCCCCCCGGCCAAGGAAGGGCCTCCCGGGCCAAGAACCCCCCGAGCCAAGGGCTTCTGCAGCAAGCGTCCCGGACCAAGGGCCCGCGGGGCAAGGCCCAAATAAAAGGGTTCCGTCGCAGGCAAGGCCCTCCCGGGCTAAGCCAAACCGAAGGGCCCGCAGGCCCTGCCAAACAGCCCTGCCAACTAGGGCTTAGCCAAGGGCCCCTCGGGCCAAGGGCCCCCCCACACCAACACCCTCGCAGGGAATCTCAGGAAGCCCCCAAGAACCACCAAGAGCCACCAAAAGGCTTCAAAAGCTTCAAAAGGCCCACTAAAAGAAGGGGACCACAAGATTTGTCCGTGCCCACAATGAAAAATGCTATTTTTGAATATTGAAAACGATGGTTTTAGGTACCCTTGCCCGCAATGAAAAATGTTCTTTTTTAGTACTGAAATCGATGGCTCCCCCCAAATCAGCAACAAATCAGCAAGGACCTCTACGGGCCCTAACGTGCCGAAGGACCGAGGCTACTAAACCCTAACACCGCAAAAGCCTGCGAAGGCCTTCAAGCAAATAAGGGCCTCTACGGGCCCTAACTTGCCGAAGGCCCGAAAAGGGCCGAGGCTACCCCGAACCCGAGCTTAAACCCTAGCGATTGAAATACTCATTGGCGAAAAATTCATTAATAGGTTCCCTGACCTTTAAATGAATGAAGCCTCTACGGCCCCTGACACGCCGAAGGTCCGAACAAGGCCCCGAGAGACCCCAAGAGCCACCAAAATGCTTCAAAAGGCTTCAAAAGGCCCCCTAAAAGAAGGGGGACCCCAGGATGCCCGTACCCGCAATGAAAAATGCGATTTTTTGGTAGTGAAATCGATGCTTAATTGAGGCCCTTAAAGAAGGGGAATCCAGGAGCAGACACAAAGGGTTTCCTTGACCTTCAAATAAATAAGGGCCTCTACGGGCCCTGACACGCCGAAGGCCCGAAAAGGGCCGAGGCTACCCCCAACCCCAGCTTAAACCCTAACAGCGCAAATTTAAAAACATCAAAGCAAGCATCAGAGCACAAGAAAGTAAATTCCATAAACCCTAAACCCTAATAGAGTATAGTTTGGGTGGCCGGGGTGGGTTGACGGGCAACGCGAGCGCGCGGCCCGGGGTGTTTCACACCCGAGCGCGCGCCCTCCCCTGACACACCCTAAACCCTAAACCCTAAACCCTAAACCCTAAACCCTAAACCCTAAACCCTAAACCCTAAACCCAACCCGAAACCCGAAACCCGAAACCCGAAACCCGATTCGAACCAGGCTGCAAGAGTAGCAAGGACAAGCGCCACGGAAAGTGGGACCAGCACGAGGTCTTGCAGCAGGCCTGGGCTCGTTTTGGGGCTTTAGGGTTTGGGGGGTTTAGTGGCTTAGGGGTTAGGGGGTTAGGGGTTTAGGGGTTTAGGGTTTAAGGCTTAGGGTTTAGGGGGTTCCTGGTTCTAGGGCCCTAAACGGCCCTAAACCGCAAAGCCGAAAAGACTTGCGGGCGTTTGGAGGATTTAGGCTTGAGGGTTTAGGGTTTAGGGTTCAGGATTTAGGGTTTAGGGTTTAGGGTTTAGGGTTTAGGGTTCAGGATTTAGGCTTGAGGGTTTAGGGTTTAGGGTTCAGGATTTAGGGTTTAGGGTTCAGGTCCACAACTTCCCTCATGCCCTACCCTGGGCAACAGCTGGGGACTTGCATCTCTGATCTATAATAAGAACCCCAAAAAGGGACTCGTCCTAACCCTAAACCCTAAACCCGAAACCCTAACCCCTAAACCCTTAACCCTAAACCCTAAAGAACTACCATGAACTACCCATTTAGGCTCGCGAAGATGAGACCGCTGTTCAACCCCAAGGCCACCAGAGACACACTCCTAGCTTGTCTCAGTAGACCCTGGGTTTAGGGTTTAGGGTTTAGTGTTTAGGGTCTAGATGTAGGGTGCTCAATACAACTATCCCAACAAGAAACCCATTCCTTTCACGCACCCGTCTTCAAAACGAAACTCATACCCTACCTCATATGCGGACTATGTTGACCCTACGTCTGAGCCTGCTGGGCCCACCAGCCCAGACTGGAAATGACCCCACCTGTGCCTGAAACCATCCTACATTCTGAAATTTGATGATCTGCGGCTTTGGTTCAGGGAAGCTAGTGGGTTTTGGGGGGCTTCGGGGGTTTTGGGGGCGTAGGGGTTTAGGGGGCTTAGGGGGCATAGCTGGCCCTTCGAGTTAGGGTTTAGGGTTAGGGGTTAGGGTTCTTTCTGCCTTACCTCAAACGTCCTACATCGCCCCGAGGCAAACGCATGAGCCCAAGGGGCTAATGGCACAGCTTTCAAGCCACTTTGCCTGGGCGCCAGAGGCACTCGGAGGCTAGAAGACTTGTGGTTTTGCCCCTGAGTTCTTGGGAGGGGGGGGGGGAGGGTTCAGGGTTTAGTGATTTAGGGGGGGTTGAGGGTTTAGGGGTTTAGGGCTTAGGATTTAGGGGTCTAGGTTATTAGGGATTTGGGGTTTAGGCTTTGGGGCTTAGGGGGGTTTTACATTGCATGCACTTTTGGGGTCTCCATTCTGGCAACCTGATTTCTACTACAACCCCCAGAAACTAGGGACAGGGCTTCGGGTTCAACAATGCGCAAGGAGTAGCCAGGCATGGTTTGCGGAGTTTTTGCCATGTAAAGCATGCCCTTCAGGCAACCACCCTGCATCCAAAGCGCCTGAAAACCCAAGCCAGACCCTACACCCAAACCCCTAAACCCCTCAACCCCCGAAACCTCAAAATCTCTAAGCCCCTAAGCCCCTAAGCCCCTCAGCCCTAAGCCCGCGCAGCCCAGCTTCGGCATCCTTTGCGCTCACATTGGCCAAGAATGCGAGGGTGTAGAAGACACAAAAGCCCGCGTGGCAGCTCCAAATCAGCCAGAACCTTCGAAAGTGCAAGACTCTGGCGTGGTTTTTGTTGGGGGTTTAGGGTTCAGGGTTCAGGGTTCAGGGTTTAGGGTTTAGGGTTTAGGGTTTAGAGTTTAGGGTTTAGGGTTTAGGGTTTAGGGTTTAGGGTTTAGGGTTTAGGGACGGGAAGCGGGGCTTGCGGGGGCTTTGAGCCCTCCGGGCCTAGGACTGAAGCTCCGGAGCCTCGCAAACTTGACTACGGGCACCTGGTGCTCGGTTTTAGGGTTCCGGGGTTTAGGGTTTAGGGTTTAGGGTTTAGGGTTTAGGGTTTAGGGTTTAGGGTTGAGGGTTTAGGGTTTAGGGTTTAGGGGTTAGGGGTTAGGGGGGGTTCCAGCATGCTGAAAACGAGTAGGGAGTGGGGGGTTGGGGTTGAAAGAAATCATCGTACCCCCATGTTCTACATTTCATCTGGTTTAGGGTTTAGGGTTTAGGGTTTAGGGTTTGGGGTTTAGGTTTTAGGGGATGACTGCAGTCATCCTTTACTTAAGTTCACTGATCTTCGCGACGGTTGCAGCAGAGAAACAGGGTGGATTTGCATCTCCATCGCCACAAAAGTCGCTCCTTCTCACGCGGCTTCCTCAGCATCGACAGAATGACATGGCCCGTAAGGCAGTCAGAGTTTTGGGATATCGGGTTTAGAATTCAAGGTTTAGGGTTTAGTGGCTTTAGGGTTTAAGAATTTAAGGATTGCTGAAAAGGGCTAGCGCCGCAAACGACTCAAAGCTCGGGTAATAGGGGGCACTCTGGCCTTCGGCAAGCGGAGAGCGGAAAAGCGTGAACTGAAGAGTTTATATTTCTTGTCCCCCCCCCCCCCCCAAAAAAAAAATGACACCCAATAAACGCATTCACCAATCACTCACCAATAACAGTAATATACACCCTGCTTCAATGTAGCTTCCAGATGGTCTTGCTCCTCAACCATTCAACATCAAAGTTAGACGACAGCGATCTATCATATGGGCCCGAAACGGTACCCCAACAAAACATCCGAAACCCTAAACCCTAGACTACTTAGATTCTTGGGTACCCTTTGGAGGAAAATTTTGGTCGACCCTGCGATACAAGGAGCTCCAGTAAAACCCAAGACATCGGGTTTGGAGGTTGATTAGGATTCGGGGTTTTGGGTGTAGGGTTAGGGTTTAGGGTGAGGGTTTTTGCTTTTGGGGGGGTTCGGGGTTAAGGCCAACATGGCGTGGCCAAGATGTGCAAGATGATACTGCCATTGCGAGTGGCACTAGTACTGCTGCTGACACTGAACTTGCTTCACGGTCCATACTTGACTTGTTTCCTCTGCCTCGGCTTTCGACACAACTTTCCTGCTTCAAGTCCAACCTGCTAAGGGTACAGAGCCAGCTCGTCCAAAGGTTTGCTTGGGTCCCTTATATCAGGGGTTCTAGGTTTAAGTGAAAAGACACTTCCTAATGCAGGGGCCTTAAAAACTAAATTGGAATAGGTTTGTTTTTTTTTTTTGGGGGGGGGGGGGGGGTATTGTTGTAGAAAGTAGGACCTGACCCTCAGGTAAGGACTTGTGGGTGTAAGGGTTTATTTCCTGAGAGGGAGCCTGTGACCGGCTACCACATCTAAGGAAGGCAGCATGGATGATTGATCCGCTGCGATTTCGTGACTCAAGGGGGGGCTACGGTAGGAAAACCCTTGAGCATGCGAATTTAGCTTTCCAAGAACTCGCTCTAGAACTCGAGTTTGACTAGACATGCATAGTGTAGAGCACATGCAAGGACAAGCACTGACGCTCTGTCGTAGGGTTCATGGACTGATGACTGGCTTCGTTCTTGATCGTTAGATTCTAGGATTCCATTCGGGGATTTAACCGATTTATCCGCCGAGGCCTCCTTGGGCCGGAGGTGTCTTGGTTGTCAGAACAGGCACCCCCCTCCAAATCCTCCCCCCACACCCAAAGCCATTTTTCGGACCCCTCTTTTTTGCCTCAAATTGGTACCCCCCCTAGGAAACCGGGGTCCGCAAGCGGACGGTTCGCCAGGACTAGAGGCAGTTGCAGCCCCTCCCAACAGGGCCCCCCCTCAACCCTACGATCAATCCAAGCCGAACCGTCTTTTGAACCCTAAACCCAAAATAACCCTAAACCCCAAAGCGAGCCCTAAACCCTCAACCCTAAACCCCAAACAATAAACCATAAACCCGGAACCCTAAATCCTAAACCCAACCCTTATTTTCTTGGGGTCCAGCGACTCGGGCGCTGCGGAATCACCATGCTCACGCGGATGCGCTGGGCCGGGCCGAGGCGGGTCGCGTAGCGTTAAAATTAGAACTGGGATTTGGCAGTGACAACCTGTGGCATCTCAAGATCCTGATGCACCTCGCAACCCGAGCAACATTCAACAATTGTGGTGTAATTGTAAAGGGACCAGTAGTAGTAATTATTCCGACCCCTATCACGTGGGGACCCAGTTCAGAACGACCGCCTATCGGTGTGCTTTGTGCTTCAGAAAGGGTGTCTAGAACAGGATCTTGTAGCACCCCCTGGTCCGGGGTGTGGTCCTACAGTTTAGGGTTTAGGGTTTAGGGTTTGGCGTTTAGGGTTTAGGGTTTAGGGTTTAGGGCTTAGGGCCTTGGGCTTAGGGCTTAGGGCTTAGGGCTTAGGGCTTAGGGCTTAGGGCTTAGGGCTTGGGGCTTAGGGCTTAGGGCTTAGGGCTTAGGGCTTAGGGTTTAGGGCAGTTTCTCGTTGCACTTAGGCCACAAAGCCCCCTTTCTGACGGAGTAGCCACTCATTCTTGTCAACCGCCTGGCGACTCTGTATGATAAACAGAACCTGAGATGTGGGGATGGATCTCAACTGTGGACCCTTTTCGGTGCCCTCAACGGGTTTAGGGTTTAGGGTTTAGGGTTTAGGGTTTGGGGTTTGGGGTTTGGGGTTTGGGGTTTGGGGTTTGGGGTTTGGGGTTTGGGGTTTGGGGTTTGGGGTTTGGGGTTTGGGGTTTGGGGTTAGGTCTTAGGGTTTGGGGGGCTTTAGGATTACAATACAAGCCCCACCACGGGCACTCGACAGCAAAGCTTTCTTGTGGGGGTGGACCGGGCGGGCAGCGCCCATTAAATGGGGCTTCCAAAAGGGGGTACCATGAAACCCTAAACCCTAAACCCTAAACCCTAAACCCTAAACCACAACGTTAGAACTCCGTAGTGTTTGGGTCTAGGGATTAGGGTTAGGGTTTCCGGCTCAGGGAGGGGTTGTGGACTCTTGCTTTAAGACCGACAAGCATCCTCAAAAGACTACGGAACATTCCTTAATGAAAATCAGGGTTTTCCTGCGCAAGCCACAAAGATCACGGTGTCCCCAAAAAAGGCGGAGAGCAGACCCACAGTGGCCGCCTGCAAGCGATGCTTCTGCTTCTGGGTTGAGTATTTCCTATACGTGGAACCCTCGCAAAAAAGAAATTTTAGCTGCTTCTTAGGAATCATAGTACCCAAGAAATGAAAATTATTCCCAAAAGTCCCTAAGTTTCGGGTTTAAGGGCATAGCGTGGATTGAGAGGGTTTGTGGTATAGGGTCTACTACAGACATAGTGGTCATGAAACCATCTGTTACTGTAGCTACGGCGGCGAAGGCCGCGGCCGCGGCGGCGACGACGACGACGACGACGATACTTATTCAAGCGACCCTCTCTGCCAAAAAACTGTCGTACACATACATACATACATGCATACATACATACATACAATATAGTATATATATATATAGTAACAAGAATCCATTCTAGTTCCCTAAACCATCAACCGCAAGTAGGACGGGCAGGCTGAGTGTCGAAGTCTATTTCAGCCGTGACACAGACATCTTCGGTCCGCTCCCAGAGGACCCAGAGGAAAGAGTGACAAGGTTCACAGCTTTTAGGTTTTTTAGGGTTTAGGGGTTTGGGGGTTTAGGGGTTTAGGGTTTAGGGTTTAGGGTTTAGGGTTTAGGATTTAGGGTTTGGGGCTTAGGGCTTAGGGCTTAGGGCTTAGGGCTTAGGGGTGTAGTGTTAAGGATATGAGGTTTAGGGTCCCTAAACCCTAAACTGCTGAGGACGAGCCGGAGTTTTCAGGTTTCAGGCTCAGGGTCCCGGGGTTAGCCTTGGGATGTTCTTATACTGACAGTCCTTAATAGGGAATATAGTACACCCTACTATATATCCCTATGAAGGACTGTTAGTATTAATCATTGTTATGTTGTTTGCTGTGTTTGATGTTTCTTTCGGTCTCCTCATTTCTTGGAACATAAAGGTTTGAGGGTGTTCTGGCTCTTAGTAGGGAATGAGGGAATTCGGCACCCCATATCCCTCCTATATATATATATATGTATATGTATTTTCATACATACACCCATGAGGGACCATAATGTGGGGTACTTCATCCCCTACTAAGGGGGAACATCTCAAGCTTAACCTCGGGTCAGGGTTTCGGGATTTGCGGACGAAGAAGGCCCAGGGCCCCAACCCCGTGCAACATCACGAACATGGCAAGTCAGCGACAAGCAATCGAAAAATATCGTGGCCCCAGCATGACTGAAAAAGGGGATGGGCGATGCCTCATTCGGGGTTTAAAAAAAAAACACAAGCCCCAAGAACCCGATCAAGAACACCTGAACCTTGAACCCCTAAAGCTAAATCCTGAGAACCCCAAAGCCCGTAACCACCAAAACCATAAACCCAAAATCCCAAAACCCAACCCCAATAAAACCATAAGCCCTAAATCCATGAACCCCAAACCCCAAGGGCCTGTATCATCTGCGAGAGAAGGTTGGTTGGGGGGGCACAGTCCTGACACTCAGGGCTTCACATGTGGCTAAGATTTTACAGCCCAGGGCTTAGGGCTTAGAGTTTAGGGGTTAGGGGTTTAGGGCTTCTAAGGCTTAAGGGTTGCGGCTTGGGGTCAGGATTTGGGATGGCGACGCACAGGAATCTAAATAGTTCAGCATTTAGGCCTTAGAACCGTTGATAAACAATCTCATGAAACGTGTCTGGCTTTATGTAGGTGTATATGGGAAGCTCCTAAACCCTAAATCCTAAACCCTAAACCCTAAAGAAGCTGAACGAAGCGGGTCGGATTCTCTAAACTTTATGTGCCAGCAATGTAGGAATGATAAAGGAAGCACGATGATTAAACTTCACAGGGGGGCTCTGGCAGCTAGATTCGGGGTTTAGGGTTTAGGGTCTAGGCTTTAGGGTTTAGGCTTTAGGGTTTTTTTGGTCTAGGGTCTAGGGTTTCGGGTTTAGGGTTTAGGGTTTAGGGTTTAGGGTTTAGGGTTTAGGGTTTAGGGTTTAGGGTTTAGGGCTCAGGGTTTAGGGCTTGGGTTTAGGGAGGTTTAGGGCTTAGGGT